AGTGTGATCTGTGTTTGTGCCTTCATCCCCCTTTTATTTTCTGGCATAGATAGGCTGAGTCTTTATTCTGAGTGTCATGGGGATATCACTACCCAACCTTCTTTAGCATATTAATGAAAGAAATATGAAAAAAAAAATTTAAAAATTTACACTGCTCTGAAAAATACTGATATAATAAAAGCACTACTGTCACATGAATTTAATAATGTGACTGTATTGTTCAAGTTCACCTTCAGCCCTTATATTCAATGAAAGAGAAAAGTGTATGGATCTAGGTTAGGAATAAACATAAGCATTTTCCTGGCTGTTGAAGATTGGTCTTTGTATACACATTTTACAGGGGTTACAGAAACTGAAGGTGTATTTTATAAATAAATATTAATTCACAATAATTTACCTGCATTTTCTCTGTAGAGGTATTTACTTGATATCTGTCTGTGTGTACTGAAACAGATATGCAGATACAGAGAAAATAAATTTATCATGGCTTTAATTAAGTGGACAGCCTAAGATTAATATATATATGTCTATAAATTATTACTAAATCTGAAGTAGTGTCTTTTTGCCAAAAACCTCTGTATACATATATATAAATTGATTTTTTTTTCTTCCCTCCCCACCCCCCCCAATATTTAATTAGGTGAAGTCTGCTGGTCTCAGCTGCCTTTGCAGTTGACTTTATTGTCAGTTCTCAGATGGCCAATAGGGGCGATTTTGCATGGGTGACTGATTTCTTTCTTTCCATAATGTGCCCAGTTTCTACAGGGTTTGCTTTCTGCACAGTGCTGTATTTCACTGGCTTGTCTTTAAAACAGCCTTGTTTAGAGTATATTTGATTTGAATTATGTTTTTTTCTTTGATTTTCTTTAATAATTTGAGCTTTTTTTTTTTTTGGGTGGGGGTGGGTATGATGAGCAGCACATTTAATTGTAGTAACAGAAGGGTCCAACAAATATGTCTGTATGGATGTTACTCTATGTGGATCCAAGTAAAGAATTGCCATTCCAGTAATGTGGCTGAGTTCAAGTTAATGAAGGAGAAATTTTTGACTTAAAAATCTACAGCTGTGTTTTGGAAAGTGGCACAAAGTTTCTGTATCAAATATTTATATTGTGTAATGGTGTTTTATGAGGTTGAAGTTTTATGGCTACAAATCCTGATGCACTGTTGAAACTTGCCTTAATTTGTGTAAAGATTGTCAAAATGGCAATGAGAAAATTGAAAACGTGTTAGTGGCTTGTGACATCTTCCTAATGTTGCTGTTAGAGCTCTAATTGGAGATTTATTTTTGCTGCTGTTATTTTTTCCTGTTTACAGGATACGAGGTCTGATCTAAAGTACACAAACAGATGAAAATTTCCCCATTGACATGAGTGGACTTGGGAATAGGTCTGCATTTGGTTCCTTTCGGTCCAGGACCACAGACTCTTACAGACTACATAAATATTGGTCCTAAAAAAGAGAAAACTGAGGCAACACAACACACTGTGACTTGCAAAATATGTAGCAAGTATGCAAGCACAGAAGGAGGACTGAATTTTATCATTAAAATGGATAAGTCCTCCCCAAGTAGAGAGCATATTAGAAGGCAGGAAGGCCACTATAATTTTCAGACAGAACTTAAGACAAAAGATTTTATTGCTCTTATATTGTTTTGGCACCTTCTCACTAGTAAGACTTCTTGCTCTGCTTCCCCTAATTCCTCTCACATTCTTGTTACCATTCACCTGTTCTGCCTCGTTCTCCTGCTTGTTATGTGACTCTGCCTCCCCACTTACCAACTTTCTCATGTTAGTTCCACACTATCTTTTCTTTTTACCGTCTCTTTTCTTCATTATAAATAGGTAAATAAGTGTATTAATAGTTTGTATGTGTTAACAGTTGTTTGCATATTATCACTGTGACCACTTGGATAAATACTGCTGAGTGTATTTTTATAGTTTTATTATACTGTGATATTTTGCATCTTTTTTTTGTGTGGGAGTTTGTTAGAATTGTGGCTGAGACAGAAATGAAACAGGAATTTTAAAGTGAAATGGTTTTTTGTGTTCACAACCTATAGCCTTTATATTTGAGGATATTCAGAATACAAAAGTGTATTCAAAAGACCAGCAAAGCAGTGGAAGATACAGAGGATGAAGGAGGGCAAAAGGGGTCAAAATATGTTTTTTTTATTCTTTGTTGGCAGTATCAAGGAGCTTTTATTTGGAGAAGGTCATAGAGAAGAAGAGTTCAGGCAGTTAGCAGGAGTCACTCTTCAAAATGTCTGCTCAATTGCACTTCTTTTCTTCAGGAGATTAAAGTTGGTTATTCCCACATTCACAGTCCTGCAAAAATGTAACCTCCATATAATGCCCAAAAATGTCTTCTTATGTATGGTAAGGATTTTCTTCTCCAAATACTTTTCTCTTATTCTAGTGCATTTAGATTACTGCAAAAGAAAACCAGTAGTTAGTGATTTATTTCTGAGTGTTGAATGGTTGTATTAATACTTACAGTGTTACAAAGAAAGGTCTCAGCTCACACTCGGTTTGACCTGTGGAAATGTTCCAGGGTATTTTTGTCAGTGTCTGTGGGAATATTTCCCTGTAAACCTATGAGGCTCATAGAGTGATAGTGCAATATGTGATTAAGATATCTAATTTATTTTTAAAATACAAGGTCAGATAAACCAGTACTTCAGCTTCTGATTGCTTATGGACAATCTTTTTCCAGCTTTTTGGGTAAATGATCTTAGTAGTATCTGTAAGCAGATGTTTTTGAGATATTTATTTTGAATCAAAACAGTACTTTTTCATTGTTGCACACTTTCGCAACCCTGGATAGGCATGTAGGAAGAAGGACTTAATGAAGGCAGGTGCTGCTCTAGTATTTCTAGATTCTCTGAGTAGGAATAAGAAATACTGAAAATGTAAAAAAGAACTACTTTGAAAACTTCCCAGAACAAATTCTGGTTGTTCAGACTATAATATGAATGTTTGGAGTGCTTTCCAAACCAAATCTTTTCTCAGAATCCTTTTTTAAAGAGTTACATATATCACCATGGTCATTTACTTGCATGTCTTATGTTTATCCCTATCCTTTGGTCTGTTAGATTTTGAATTTTACAAGAACTCTGTCGTTGCCTGTGTTCATGCGTGTTCTAAATATTCAAGAACAATAACCATTACAGTTAAATTAAAGGTGAAGTGGTTGTGGCTGTTTAATATGGCAGTGGCTGTCATACTGAAACTTACAGGCCTCCAGAAGGCCTGATTCTTGTTATTAGGGTTGCCTCAATATTTCTAGAGTCTAGCTTTCTAAAACCAGAAAGAAACCCTGATCATTCATTGGCTGCACCTGGATATTCCACTGTCACCTGCGCACCATCCACCCCTGGCACTGATCTCTGTAGAGCTAGCGTGGCGGTCCTGCAGGCAGATAGCTGTAAGGCTGCTGCTGAAATCTGGTGGTTGTCTGTTACTGTTAGGGAACAGATTTGAATAAAAAGAGCAATTACATAGTCTTGAATGATACATAGTGAAATTTTTTCTTGATTATATTTTTTTCTTGTATTTCCTTTTCAAGGAAGGAATCTGACCTATTTGTAGGACAGATCGGGAACTTAATGACAGTTGGGGTTTCTGGACATTACAGTGTAAAAATCCTGATTGTATACAGTGTCCATCAGCGTGACTGTGAACCCCCATAGGTTAGCTTGTCTATTTCGGTGACAAGATAATGGAGGGCCTTTTTCTCCCTGCTTCTTGAGAGTTCATTGAGAAACCCAGCTTCTGTCCATGAGGAAATCAGATACACCTCTTCAATAAGAGCCTTTTTCAATACATCATACATCTATTTTAATGCAAGTCTGTTTTATATCTTCTGGGTGCCAAATTCCACCTGCATAATGAAATATAATTAGTAAGTATCTCACATAAGCAGCATCTGTACAAATTTGCTTTTCTGGAATTTAACTTTCCTCTGGTCAGTGTCTGATTTATTTGTATTTAGTAAAATACAATACAAAATCATTCTACTTACTCTCTTTTACAGGTGCAATTTATGTTAAACAATATATCTGATATATACATCAATGTAGATATCAGTATGTTTAATGTGTGGGCTTCTAAGATTGTCCATAATCAAAGACTACATAAACAGAATATAGTTAGTGTACATTTTACTGTCAGTTTTAATCTTCTTGGAGACATACAGCTGTCTTCTGCCACAGATGACGTATTCCCCCTTTTCCTAGCTCACTGATATGGGGTGATTGCCTTTGCTCAGATTCTATTTTTATTTGACTCAAATCCAATTGTGTATATTCTCTCAGACAAAACTGGACCTGGCATGACTTATCTTTTTTAAAGCTGCCCTGTTGAAATGATTGATATTTGCCAGTGACTGTCATAATGAAAATTATGTCCTGTTCTTGCTTGATTTTTATATTGGTTTTTCAAATTTAGTGTTGGGTTACAAACTGGGCACTTTTATAATTTGAAAATGAGAGCAAATGAAAGCTAGAGTTGGTTTTGCAAGCTAGGAGAAATCTCAGTTTGTTCTTTAGAGATTACTCATTCTTAGAGAAAGTTCAATGTCTTTGATATAACTGCTGTAAAATATGTAGGTCTTTCTATGATTTTCCCACTTCTAGTTTTGGTTTTCAAAAAGATCAAAAATAGAACAGGGGATGAAAGCCTATCAGCCCAACCAGCACAGTCCAACTTCATATTTTAAAGCCTGATTATAAGAAGCAGTTCGCTCGGGGAGCCTTGCTTGTCTAGCACTTACTATTTCCCTTGAGCAGTAGAAATGCTAATTAATGTTCACAGAGCTAAAACTGTTCAGCTTAATGGACAGACTTCTTTTTATTTTTGTCTTATTTCTGCTCTTCCAAACAGTCTGAGGTTTTCTTTCGCATTAAAATAAATGTAGGCCAAAACCCAGCTGACATGATGAAGAGAGCTGTTTAGCTGAGTACACAGACTACAGCGGTGTAGTCAGTGCAGCGTTCGGTCATAGTTAAGATTGTGCTCTAAGATTAAATGCTCCTTCAGTGAAGACAAGCCCTAAGAGAAAGACATCAGAGAGCACAGGAAGCTTACTAGGGCAGAGACTAATATGAATGAAATTAAGTGAAAGGAAAATGTAAGCTGTCAAGCCTCCTAGCTTGAACTGTAATGTACAAAATCTTACAAAAGAAATAGCAGAAGTAATGTTTTAGCCAGAAAATGTAGGACTGCATAAATAGCTTGCTAATAGATGGTCTTTGCAGTATATGTGTCTTTACAGCATAAATACTATAAATAAAGTTCCTGCATGGGTTGCATGTGTCTGTAGATGATTGCTGCATCCAAATTCATAATGTTGTGATCTTCCAATCAGTGTCCCATGGAGGGAGAGTGGCTCTTAGTGGCCTATAGAAACATCCATAGAAATTGGCTTTTGGGAAGCAAGATTTGATATACTGATTTGAGTTTTTGTTAGTGATGGCTGAATGGTAATTGTAGTTTGGGGTGTTTCCCATTAAAATTGGTAGCAACAGAATCGCCAAACATGCTTGCCAATTACTGTACATTTTGTCTGCAAATTGTTGACTTCACAAATGTATTACTTTCTCTTATCACCAGACAATGTGTAGATGCTATCAAAAGTAAGATTTCGGCATTTTAAGAACTTGTTTAGACATTTCTAAAGATGGATCCATGCTTGTGCAGGTATGATAATCATTACTTCAGTACATTTTATTTTTAAGGGAAATCATGATGTAAACTAATGTACTAAAATATATTCACATTCTGTGTATTTAATAATTGTTATAAACATTTATGTCATACGTCTGTTCATTGTTGCATGCACTAAAGCCTCCTGTGCTTTACAAATGGCACACCTACTTCTCTCAGCCCCCTCCCACCACCTCCGCAAACCTTACTGTAGTAGTAGGAATTTTAAATCTGTGTAGAAGAGTAAGAAAGATTACTGCACTTGATGTGCCATTGTAGTGTACATAACACAGAATATATTTTTAAAGGAGATATTCTTTGCACATTTTATTTTTGGAACAATAAGACATTGTATCTTTCAAGCTCCTGAACAACCTTCCTCTTTTTTATAAAAGATACTGTTAGGGAAGAAAGTATTTTACATTTATAAACTGTCTGTTTACAAAACATTAATTTTTTTTTAAGTCCTAGGCCACCAATTCCTCTCTCTCTCCTTCTATCGGAAGAAGAAGCGAGCATAGTAATTCAGTCCTTCTGGAGGGGTTATCGGGTAAGAGTAATCTATAATTATTTTGCTTGATGTTGAAAACCACAGGACCGTGAAGGCCCCAGGGAAAATCCTTACATAAATTTTAAGTAGGGGATACTATAAATAGCTGCTGAGACCCCCACGGTTCATTGGCTTTGGATGTTGCTCTGCCTTATGCCTAGTGACTAAAATTTTTTCACAGGCATTTACGCTGATGTAATCTCACTGTTTTCTTCAGCAACAGAAAATCCACAGACATTCAGTTTTCAAAAGTACAATTAACACTGAACAATGTTTTTTTTTTTAATTGATCTTTGACTAATTGCTAAAGGATAAAGTGTTATTTTGCTTCATGCAAGGATATGTGAGTGAATGTGCAGATGCACAAGGCGATTGGTGAGGTCTGTTAAGAAGCAGAAGTGTACAGAAACAAGGGAGAAAAAATTGAGACCAAGAATGAGACAGGAGGAGAGGCATGAAGGCTGTTATTCAAGGAAAGGGAAAACAAAATAGCAAGCAGATGTTGCAAGCCATACTAGTCATACAACACTAACACAGTCCCCAATTTAAGGGGGAAAAGCAAGGTGCATGAAATAAATACAGAGAAAATTGCTAATGCTGTTCTTTTGGAGAGCCATGCTAAGACTAGGGTTTGAAAATCCTGAACAGAATCTGTCAAATATTTTTGAAAGGCTCTAACACCTTCACACCTTGGAAAAATATGAACTTGAAATTTAGGTGACACTGGTGACAAGGAAACGTCTTTGACTGCCTTTATCAATATTTAAGCTTGTAAATAGCCTCCAGATATAGCAGTAATTTCATTGTGATGGACAGTGAGACGTCGCTGTCTGTACATCAGGTGTTCTTTAAATAACAATCAATATAAAACACTCTGGTAAGTTCGTTTTTAGTACTGTTATAACAAACATGAATATATGAGTGGCTACTATAATGTGGAGTGCAGCCAAAGATGATGAAATAAATACCTTGAAATTATCTTCTTGACTGATAGATTTTTGTGACGCTTTCTGCTTGTTTGCTTTCCTTTTTTTTTTTTTTTAAACAGAGATGGCGTTGACACTAACGTTAATTAGCACTGACAGTATCACTGCAGGCATCCTTACAGTGGACTATTGCAAAGGCAACCGTTATCCAATAACAGTTATGTTTGCTGAACAGTGCAAGATTGCTCAGATACTTTGTGCTTCTACCAAAGCTTCTGAAGGGCACTGTCCATCCTCGCTATATATATTAACTTTAAATGTTTCACAGTAGTATTTATCATTCTAAACTATTTCTCAGAAATGAGAGAGAAACCGTAGCTATAAAAAGTAGGACACATAAAAAATAATTCAGACTATAAAATTAGCTGTTACGTGTTTTAGCTTATTAGAGCTGAAAGAACCTGTTTTTTAAAAATTAAAATTAAATATAAAATGAGAATATAGAATAAAAATAATTAGTAACAAGTTACTACATAGGGTCATGTGTTATCCTTGGCCTTGTAAATCAAGAGAACGCTAAGCTTAAATGGGATTTCATTGCATTAATTATAAAGTACATTATGAAAATTTACCAAAGAATTCAGATTATTTGGTTTTAAAATATATAGCTCTGCCAGCTGCCACTGATTTATTGTAGTAATAACCAAACACTTACAAATAATGCCCTTTTACATTCCAAGGATATTGTTGTGTCAGTATTTTAAACTCTTTTCTGATGTTTTTCATTAAACTTTGTTTTATAATTCACAGGATTTGGAACTTTTAAGCCACATCTAGCTGTATGAGTGTGCCAGTGTCAAAAACACACAGCACTCAGCAAAAATGGATCAGGCAGTAAAGATTTTTCTATGTCAAGGTTAAAAAAAATTAAAGATACAGAATATTGAGAACTTTTTGATAATAAAACATGATCAAAGCAGTACATTCTTCCTTATTGGTAGTAATAATTAATGGCTGCCATCAACAAAGTCCTTGGCTACGATCTTTTATGCAAAGACGTTGAGGAGGACTCTGAAAATTATTTCAAGTGTTCTTGCTCCGGCAGGGGGATTGGACAAGATGATCTTTCGAGGTCCCATCCAGTCTCTAACATTCAGTGATTCTGTGAAGTTTACTCAAGAATTAAATTCCAGAACAAACAGCAGTGGCAGCTACAACTGCTGAGTAGTCTAAGATGAGAAGGGAAGATGTCATCTTGAGGAGTCTCTTTGCGGGCAAGGAGGAGCACCCAAATAAGGCTTGAGACACTTCTGTCATCAGAATTCTTTCACTTCACTTCTCACTGCCCTCTTTTATTCAGGTTCCATTTATCAGTTGTGGGCCAAGGCAGTATTCAGTATCTGATGAAAACCCTTGGTTGGTAGGTATCAATTTTCCAGGCACTTTTCCAATGAAAGAAGATATATTCCTTCACCCCTCTACTGCAGAATCCCTGCTGAGTGCCATTTGGTTTATGGGTCTTTTTAATATTTACAATTTGCTTAACTATTCTAGACTGAAGGGATTTTCCATTAATACACTTTCGCCTAATGTCTCTGGTCAAAGCTTTAGTGTTACCCTTCGGCAGTTGTGCAACATGTCCTCACCTAGCACTGAAAGCAGTTTATTTTGACTAAATCTTGTGATACCATGGAGTTTAAATTGGACAGCATTATGTAAATATACAGTGCTATCTTATACATAAATATCGTTTGAGCAAAAGTTAAATCAGAACTGAAGCAGGTTTATCCTTATATCTTACAAAGTGTTGTGCTTTTGCTATCACAACTTATATGCCTTTCTGGCAAGTTGTGGCTCCTAGCAATGGCTCAGACCCACAAGGTCACACATATATTTGCTATTCTTTACAGCAAGTATAGATTCAGTCCAAGTAACTTGGGTAAGAGTGAACTGTCACTTCAGTTAAGGCTCCTCCAGTGCTTCATGCATTGCTCGTCTGCATACACATCAGTTGCTTGGACAAGACTCTTGACCCTTTGATTATTTGCCTGGAGATTTTGCTGCTGCGTCATGGCTTTTTAATCATGGTAGAATTGCACTCTGATTACAAAATACAGATGACTTTTTGAGAAATTATCACAACTATGCTAAAGTATAACCTATTAAGCATATTTGTAACATGTTGATAGTATTTTGTCAAGTTCCTGTTACGTGTTTTACTGCAGGCAGCGTATCTCTGTTCCTTGTTCTTTTCTTTCACTTTTCTAAAAAATCGCTTTTTTCCGGGAGCCCATGTTCACTGCTTGGATTTAATGTTGGTCTTTGGAGTATTTGAGTCTATCTGACTATGCCTGTATCTCAGAGCCCTGTATTTTGTGATTCATTTCACTATACATTCTCTATGTTATTTATCTAGGGAGAGTATGCAGAATCTACTATACTTTTATCTTTTGACTGTTAAGAGTTACTGTCTTCATTTTCAGTATACAAAGATCACTGTGGCCCTTTCACAGGTCTTGCGTAGTTGCAGTTCCAAATGGGCAGTTATTTTTTTTCAAAAATTTTATATTTAGACATAGAGCTAGTAATTTCTCTGTCTTCCTGCCTCTTTTCTGTTGCTGTCATTTCTACGTCCCATAAGCACTCTCTTAACCCTTTACTGTGTAGATAAACTGACTCCATGTAATAGGGAATTATGGGTTTTATAAAAGCATAAATGAAAGTATAAAAGAAAAAATATTTCTTGCAAGCCTAAAGAAACTGTCCTGTAACTGGGATTGTATTTTATTTTTGAAAATAGTATTTGGTAGATTTAATAGAAAACGGTTTGGATTTATTTGTATAGCTGAAAAGATCATTAGTAACTAACTTTTTTTTTAATTTTTAAAATTTCCTATCAACCATGTCAGAACTTCATCTAACTTTTATAGAAGATACTACAGAACTTTATTAGTATACTGGGATATTATTAGAGGCCTAAGAGGTATCTGATATCAAGACACTGAGTAAAAGACTCTCTTGTCTTTATTGATCATGTAACCTTGTATTTCTGCTCTGCCTATCTGTGCAGTGCACTTTCTAAAATATAGCATGTTGTCTTCTCCTAAGTGAATTGAAAAGTGCCAGGGGAGTTCAGCTACTGTCTATTGCATTCCTAGCTGCGCCACAAAGGAGAAATTCTGTGTGGAAAAAATACTTTTGATAAATAATAAGTCCTCCTCTTTTGCTCTGTGTGTATCTCAGGGAAGTGGGAGAAAACCAGAGTGTAATGGAGTAGAGTAACAGAGTTCAAATCAGAGCAAGCTCATTACCATATCATGTAAGAATAAAATAAATATAAAAAATTTTCAGGAAAAACTAAGTAGTCAGTTTCCTGAAAACAAAAATATGTCCAGGAGAAACCAAGCTTGTTGCTACTTGTTTCTACCATGTTATTAAACAAGCCTGAATTACTAGGACATTAAGTCCTAAAATATATGTATAATGACATTTTATATACGTAACATTTAGGAAAAACAGAACCTGCATTTTTAATAATTCTATTATAAATTAAATATGACTAAGAGAATAATCACTTAACAATGTGTATGCTAATACTAGCATGTCCCCTTCCCGCTGTTGTCAGAGGAACGGTCTCTATTCTGGATTTTTGCTCTAGAACTGGAGGTAGTAATTGTGTGAGTACTGAGACAAACCACTGGCATCACACTGCTAATTAATCAAATCCTATTTAGAACAAGTTTAAGTAGCAGAGTGGTAAAAGCTGTTGATGCAAAGCTAGCTCTTTCTTATATTAGTAGAAAAATGAATAATAGAAGAATTGAACTCAAATCTTAAATGGAGTCAAGGCCTGTGACTGTTGTAATTTTATATGGAAGCAGAATTACCCCCTTCATAGGGGTGATTGGCTGACAAAGAAAAAAAATCATGTAATGCATTCCAATTACTTTAAATAACAGATTAATGGCTCTGCTGTTTGTGAAAATTGCACGGCTGGGATTGTCAGTAAGCCTGTTTGCAGCTGGTAGCAGGTGTGAATCAGTTTGCTGGAATAAATTTCCTGCTGTAGGACCCTTCATGCTCCTCTTTTGCTCTATTATGTTGGTCAATAGGTTGGTTTTATAGTGTTGTGGTTTTCTAAAGGCACTAATACCCTTCAGCATAATGCTTTAAATTTTAATTAACTCAAAGAATAAGTGTCTCACTGCAATCACATTCTCAGGAGTCCTTGGTAATCAAAATGATCCCCTAATTGGTATATTTAAGTTTTCAGTGGGGTTTGTCAATTATGTGGTTTTTATTTCTGTGTAAGTTGAAAACTGTAAACCTCTGGGATTGTGCTTTTATAGCAGGCCCTGCAAAAAGGATGGATGTTACATGTTTGCCCAGCCACAGCCCCACAAAAAAAAAATAAAAATTGTCTCATCATCTTTTGTAACATGGATGTATAGAATTTTAGTTGCATTTTCTGTTTTCCCTTTCCCAGGTCCGCTGTGATAGTGAAATACAAGAGCTACGTCAGTGGCAAAAGCAGTTGAGAGAAGAAAAAAACATTTTTCAAAGAGTGAAAGAATTCTGGGCTAAGCAGGAAGCCAAAGGTAGGTGAATTAAATTGTATATTTTGATGATTTTTCTTTTTATATTGTTTAATTTTTATGTTTTGAGCTGTAGTAAGAAACAAAGTACACAGTAAGACACACATAATGAGTGAGAAAAGGTGGCAATGCTTGTTGGAAGTGCCTGGGTGTTTCTTTACAGTCACTAGTTAGTTGGCCGTATAGCTGAAAGCGGCAATTAAAAATACAGCACATGGCCAAAGCTTAATAATTTCAGGGGACTATGATAATGTGCTGGCACAGTATGTCCTAGGGCAGGATCAAACCTCTACCAGCTACACAACATGTAAATACTGATTTTTATCGGACAGCTTGTTGTACAGTTTCTCCAGACTGTGGGATTTCTATCTGGTGAATGTTCTACTGGCATTTTCCTGTACTTATTTATAGCAGCAGTTGGCCTGTACAGTTCTAAAAAAAGAAAACAAACCCAAACAACCCAATATAATTGCCAAGGGAAATGAGGCCAAATTGCTTTAAGAACCAACACTGTAGTATGTTTCCTATTTGCCCTGATTGTGGATAAGGCTTTACTGACAGGGCCAAAGTTATCATTCACTTACTCAGGCACACTGGTGTAATTATGATTGTTCGCCCAGCCTCTCTGCCTGCTAATGCTGGAGGATTCACTGGCTCCTCAACCAGTCTACATTTTGTTGGTCTCTGTGGGCTGGACTTAGATGTGATATATGTAGGGGTGTGAACTACCCACCAATAAATGAAGGTGAAGTCATTCAGCTGTATTGTTCATGTTTTGAAGAGAGGGGAAATTCTGTTTACCAGGCACCATTGTGTGGTCCTTCAGGCTGGTGGCACTCTCACAGATGTGTTCTCAGATGGAGGATCTTTGCCCTGAACTGCATAAAAACATTCAGGGTGGGGTTTCACACAGTCAGTTGGATCAAACTGGGAGCTTACTAAAGGGTTAGTCCCACTCTGTGTCTCTTGCATCAGTTACAATGTAACTGCACCATGGATTTGATCAGTGAGGGGTTTTGGTATGGGGCAGGTTCCTTTCCCACAACTTTGTTTCCACCTGAGTGCTGTATCTAACACGAAGGAGAAAGTGAACTGGGGAGAGACATGCATAATGACTTCCAGAAGCCCCCAGCTTGGTTAAATTGGATGGAATATAAGATGGTATGCTCACACCTGGTTAATATTCATGGCTGGGGAAGTGCCAGTCTCTTAAGTGATTGGCAGGAGTTAAAAGCCAGGACAAGTCCTGGCTTAGACCTCTTTAGCTCAGCACACAGAAGCACATCTGCCCTCATTCTGAGCCTGGTTTTTGTGGGGCTTCACTGATAACGTTTGAAACCCTGAGGGATGAGAGAGCTTAGAATCAGATTTCTGTGAAAGGTTTTAAAATGCAGAGTCCTGGTCAGTTAGGCACCTACTGTCAAGAAAAATCTCTAATTCTGGATTTCAGGTGACAGAAAATTGCTGATGTGCAATCTGGAATTAGGCAGCTTCATCATTATTGGGAGGCCTCTGTTCTCTGTGTTGCGTAATGACCTAGGCAGCTTTTCACTCAGCATTGAATATTTGTGGGTCACCATTTGGATCTTTGCTGCCTCTATAGACCATGCCACTGTTCTGTTGGTTCACTGTCAGCTGCCCAATTGCTACACATTTAAAGTCTAAGCTGAGACATGGAATATTTGCTGCTGGGTCTTCAGCTGTGGGGGTTTTTTTTTTCCTTATTCTCTATGCAATTTAACTATTCTTTTGAATTAAATTGAGTTATTGTACTCATGCACAGATATGAAATAGGATCTTCTGTGTTTGACATCCTCACAGTATGCTTTATTTTAAAAACTACAGTAAGAATGTCCATACCTAAGTAGTACTTACTAACATCACTGCTGTAGCAATTGGAGTTTGTTGTGACTAGAGCCTTGCAATTCTTCAATAACTCTAGTCATCAAATCTTTTGTGGCTATTGTTAATTTCAAAGCTGTCCTGCTTTTTCATGAGTGATACAACTAAAACTTCTCTATGAAGCATTTTAATTATGGAATAGTCCATGCTCTGTAAATGCCAAAGGAATTAACAGCAGTCAGGTCATTAACCCAATGCACTGCAATTCTTTCACTTTTTATTGTGCATCCATTCTATCTATCATTAGTTACAAGTAGATCAGGCTAAAAGGGTGGCATGAAAGTTCCACACATTTCCCTTGCTGCCTGCAATCTTCTTTTGAAATTTTTGCCTAAAGGTGAAAGGAGAAATCTGTTACTAGTAACGATCATTGTAACAACTGGGATTACAAAAGAGCCCCTTGTTTTCGGTTTTCCTTATTTTGATGTTTTTGCCTTCACACAAAATAAATGCAGTAGGCACTTGGGGCTAATAATAACAACATTTTAAACAAATGCTAAACTTTTGTGTGAAATCCCAACACTTCCTGATGGGCTACTTTTTATAATACCAGCAAACACAAAGTTATATGTTGGTAAGTTCTGCATGTTTTCAAGCTCCCCCACTGGAAAACTTGGATTCCCTAAACTTCTTTTCTATTATTTCTTATTTGTACTTGCATGTCTGTTGGATAGCATTAGTTTTAAGGACATCTAGTCAGTGTAATGTTGCAGTTACACTGTGTTAAGTTTGCTGTCGAGCCTTCTGAAGTGTATGCAGAGCACAAACTAATTCTGCAGACACAATTGGCTAAGTAGGTATTTTTCTAATGAACACAGGGTTCAGTAGTTATAGTATAAATCTTTCCAATAAGTATCTTAACACATGGTGCTATTGTAACACAATTTCTCTTCTATTGTGTGGTGGAGCAGTATTTAAACCAACTCTTACACAGCAGGTGTGCAGCAAACTCCAGGCAGTACTGGAAGCAAACATTGTAAATTGTTGCTCTGGATTTCTGAAGTAATCTACATTCTGTCACATAACGTGAAGGGAATCAGTGGCAACTCTCATCCTCTCGGACAGGATACACTGTTAAAAAGCCGCCTCTGTGTGCCTCCTCCGTTAATCCTCTGCAGGGCTCACCTGCCAGTCACATGCACAAGCTGATACCACAGGGTGAGTTAACATTTGCAGCTGAGAGAATCATGTTCAAGTACTGCATCCACCATGTTCCCCATGGACTGGACAACTGCAGCAACTCCTCCTGGCTTACCTACGCTAGCCAAAGCTCTTGGACAGCAGGAGGTCTGTCTCCAGTTTTGCTGCTTTCTCTGTGATCAGAGGTGGTGACTGTGTTGCAATTTAGGTTAGAAGCTGAGGTGACAAATATGTGCTCTCTGTGTGGATTAAGAAGACTGTCCTTGGGACTGTTGAGAAAAACTTTTTCATCACTTAAGGTTTGTTAGATTTACCCTTGAAGATGGCAACATCCTGGCAAATAATCAGTGTTTGAGTGGTCAGACAAGTTAGTGATTAGCACTGTCTGAAAGTGACCTGTCCTGATTTTAATATAATTATATTAAAAATCACACCTCCAAGTGTTGGGACAACCTTCCTGAATTAAGACCCCCACTTTCCAAGCATGCACAGTAAATTTAAGGAACATTGTGTTTTTAAATCGAAGTGAGAAAAGAACTAACCAACTGCAGTTAAGCAGAGATAAAAACTAACCAATTATAGTTAGAGGGAGATGGAGCTAACATTTTGAACCATATAAATACACAATGTGACTGAAACTAGGTGTGCTAGCTTTGTGGAATTACCACCTAGCCCCCATCTCTGTGCAGACATGCAATAAATGCAATAAATGATATCTCGGCTCTGTGTGTGTATTGGCATATTGCACACTGGGCGATGAACTCTGCTTGTGAGACAACTGCAGCAGCAGCAGCTACTGGATGGTTCTGTGGTTTGCATGCTTGCAAGTGCAAGGGAGAGCATTTTCCTGTTGGAGGTACTTTCCTGCCCAAACAGCAATTCAGGGAAAATGTATGAGCTGGATTGAAGCTCCTGCCAGCTAGCTTCAGCTGCATCGTGCTGTTTAATAGAATGTGTCCAGTAAAATCTGCTTCCGTTGTAACAATGCAAGATTTATACTATATCCATTACACCCTGAGTTCATTAGAAAATATCCAGTGGAGAAATCTACTTTTCCAATTCCAGTTGCAGAAGTAGTTGATGTTCTGCATGCACTTGAAAATGCTTGATGTTCTGCCAATGTTCCTTCCCAGTGTTGAGAGTTCTTATCATAAGAAGGAGTCTGCACTGATACCGGTACTGACACCAATAGCAGTCGATTTCTTTGAGTAGGTATTTAGATACATTCAAGATCATAATTAACAAAGACGGTAATGAATGGCAATTTCAAAAGGGGTTCTGCATGTCTACACCAACAGCAGGGCCACATGGAAGCTGTTCCTGCAGATTGTATTTCACTGTGAAGGACCAAGTGTGAATTCAGTCTGCAGAAGTCTCAGGGCAGAATTTTTTAAAACATTAAGACAGCTAAGTATCAGCTGATATCAAAGCTATCATAAAAGAGTAATTTTTTGAAATAACATTTTTTTTCAAAATTCCTTTATGTATCATGGCCTCCTCAGCTGCCTTGCTGTTACAGTATTATATATTGTGAGATGTTATGAGCTGACACACTTTTCTGTGTCTGCACTGTGCTATATGCAGGACCTTTTGATCACTGCTTCACTTCATTATGAAATGTTCAGAATAAGAATTTTCTTCAGTGCAGTATATGTTCTAGTACAAATTCTGAAACCAGGAGACTGTCGTGGCTTTTTTTTTTTTTTTAATAGCAGTTTGTTAACAAGAGTTACATAGATTTTCCAAACATTTCTTCATATTTATACTGCAGTTTTAATCCACAAAAGGTCAGGTTTTATTTACCAACCCGTGCAATTGCCTAAGGGATATTTTATAGCTGAAAAGAATTCATTCTAAGGAGCAAAATCATACATCACAACAGGGAAAAACTGCATTTTTATGCGTGTATATGTATGGGGTGTTTGTATGCAGTGAATAAAGTAGAATTCTTGGCTTTAGTAGCTTAGAGCTAGAAGATTAAACAAAATACTAACTAGTAACAGTGTACAAGAATGATGAAAAAGAAAATCCATGAGCCATAAGTTGTATTCCAGCAGACCTGACTGATATGTAAAGAAGACTTTGGCAGAGCAACCAAGGTTTTCTTCTAGTCTTTGTGGTATTTCGTAGCCTACTTACTATGGTTTATTAAGCGTTTACTTTGAAAAAAAAATGTAGGCATCTTTTTTTAAAAGAAGACATAAGTAGGTCTGGTTTTGAAGATCTAAACACAGTGGATTCAAATTTAATATTATAAAATTAATCTCATTTTAAATTTAAAAAATAAAAGCCAAATTATTCTCTTTGTAATACGTGTTTAATTCTGTCAGTGTTAATTGTAGAAAAATTGCATTCCTGAAGGTGATGATAGAAGTTGACCTAGCAGGCTTGCTAATTAATTTCAAATGATTGCAGTTTATTGGTTGTGTTTTGGACTCTCTGTTTTCAATTTATTATCATTTACATCATCTCATCAAGGCATGTTTTCTCACATGTTCCATCATCCACGGTACCAGTAAGAGTTACAAATGCATATGCTTCCCACTTATTTGTAAAAAATAAACCTTAAAAAGGCCTTCCCACTATATATTTACAACATACCTCTGTGAAAAAAGATGTATATGATATTAGATGATTATACAATCTCAGTTTAAAGTCTTCATGCATGTAAAATCTTAAAAGTGAAAATTACAAGTGCATTTTCAGAGGATAAGATGAAACCATTTTCAAAATGTTGCAACTAAGACAAGTAGAGGCTGAGGGCGGAGCGGACTATGTCATTTGGCAGTTGAATTCATTCAAAAACTCCTGTCTCTGGAGAAATGGAATCTTTCCATAAACTATATTTATGTTGTTTTGGAGAGTAATGTAGTGATTAGATTTCCTTTGCTGCCTTTGCCAATTGTTTCAAAAGGAAAAACAAATTTCCTTTTAATCACTCTCATAGAGCTTTCCTGTCATCAAATCAATTATTTTAGGACTCTAGGACAAACAGCTGTTTCACCACTTCAAAGACAGTTGTAAAATTGCCCCTTTTCATTTTTTTCGTAAACCAGTGCAAGGTCGTATTGCTTATATCACATTAACTTTCAATATTATCAAATTGTTTCTGTGATTACTTAACTGAGCCCTGCTAAGTTAACTTGAGTATCCATACATAAGATAGCCGTGGGGCCCAGGCAGATGGCTATTTGGAAACAGCTGTCCTAGTTTGAGAAGTTACTGTCCAGGGGTTTTCATTATCAGTCTCAGCTGTGATGCCATAATTAATTTTGTTAGTGCTCCACCTGCTCTTATTTCTGTTATTATTATTCTACTGTTTATTAACGTTGTTAAACCCTATTTCATTGTAAATGCAACAAGGTTCATTTAAACTGCTTTTACCAGTGATTCAGTCTAACCCAGCTGACTTTGTGCTGAAGTAGATTGTGAGCGCTCATACAATAATGAATAGCATAACACAGCTTCTTCTTAATCTTGTCTTCCTATGTGTTTGGTTTAACTGAATTAACTAATTCAGTTAATTCAATTAATCCCCTTTAATTAAACCACTGAGCTCTTCACATCAAGCAGGACAAAGCATTTATTGTTAGTAAAAACTCCAATGTCACAAATAAAGCATTAAGATCTATGATCAAAAGAAAAAGAGGAAAAACATTTTAAAATAGATACAGCAATTTAATACAAAGTTAACTATGTTAAGAATAAAAACAAAGTATCTCCTAAATTTGTTTATGACTCTAGTCCTCGTACACAGTGTTGAATCTAACTGTAGGGGATGAATGGTGAACTGCCAAATAGCTTTTAGAAAATGCTGACTCAAGCAGTAATGTGATTCTATTGACACTACTAGAAAGATCAGCATACCTTCCACGGAAATATCAGCCAAAGCCTTGGTTAATGTGAGCTAACAGTGAGATTCTCCTTTGTTGTGGCTTTCAGCACAGTGCTGTGTGTACCTTATTTCAAGGGTATGGTTGTAGGCAAAGACATGCAGTTGTATGAAAGTACAGTTGTATAATCTTGACCAGTGTGATACTTTAAAAGATATTAAGAGGAAGTTAGAAATGTAAACTGATTGTAATTAACAAATCCAAATGTGGTCTTAATTTATTTTTTCTAATTTCAGAAAGTGTGTTAAAACCTGTTAGTTATTGAAACAAATAGTGAAGTTTTAGGAAAACATAATCAGAATGAAGCACTTTTGGAGTTCTTTCAAGTAGGGACCAAAAGTATGATTTTTGTGGGGCAGCTAAGGTGATCCAGCAACTTCTCAGTTCAAAAGGCAGTCCTGTCCTTCCTTGACCAACGTTTCTGCCATCCTTTCCTTTTCTTTGCTCCCGCCGTCATGGCTGCGTGGTGAGTTGGTTCAGCTGGCAGACTTGACAACAAGTTGCTCTCAAGTTCTGTTCTGCTGGCCCTTGGGTTAGTTCTCTGCTGGATCACCCCAGTAATGACACAGTCCTTGCATCCAATGTAAGGGAAATGGTGCAACAGTAATAGAGGGAAGGGAAACTGCCCATTTGTGACGGCAGCTCACTTTTAGATCAGCTCATCTGTCCTGTGGCTGCTGTGTCATGTGAAACCAGACCCTCCATGGTATGTCTGCTTGGTGTGGGACGCCAGGGTATAATGTAGCCTCACATACACCAATGATTCTCCCTCCACTTCACAGCATGTTTAAAGTGTCTCTTTTTTTTTTGTAATTCTTTATTCTTTCACTGTATCTTTTACACTATTTATTACTGATTTTGAAAATTGTTCCAGGATAGAAAGTGTGAAAACTTTACATGAAAATTACTTTATAAATTAATAGCATCTTGCAGGAGTGTTGACATCTTTTAGTGCATATGCCTGCTAAATTTCTTTTTGAGTGCAAAGAAGGTGTGTTTATTTCAGCCTTTACCTAAGATCATAAAGCTACAGCATTCCTAGCTGACATTTTGTTTGCTGTACTACTCCACTGCGGTAACATTACATCACACAAAATGAACTATATTTAAGGTGTGATAGTCCTTACTCTTACCAGTTTCTACTTTGAGACTGAAAAGGTAGAGAGAAACATAGTACTCAAAACTCAGCGTAGTGGCTTACAGCTTTAGACTTGTAGGAAGAAGGAGAATCTTCCCCAATGTAGCACAGTTAATGGGATAATTTTTTCCAGAATATTTTCCAGAATTTTAAAAAAATATTACCTTTTACAGAAAATAGCAGATGACTAGCAGATGAACTGGGGCCTTTTTTAATTTTTTTAAAGATTATGTCCTTTCTGATTTTATTAATCCAAAATTTGCTGAAATTACTTTAATGTAAATGTATTTAAATTCATTATTTAATAACCTACATGTTATTTGAGATCATGTTTGGCAGGATGTGACACAGTGGCACACCCATAGCAAGACCTGCTTTTGGTTTCATGAGGCTCATGTTCTGCCATGAGATTGTCTTTTTAAGAGGACTTAGCTTCCCCGTGTGCATTTATCTAGGGCTGTCCATACCAATTTTGTCAATATCTTCAGCCCAAAACAGCCATTTGAAACTGGACATAGTGTGCTGCATCTTCTGGTTTTCTAGCTCGTATCCCACACAGCTCAGTTGTGTTTTTGCTTTAATGTTTCCAAGAAGAAATAGGCCTTTGCTTTTTGGTTAATGACCTGGTTGATTTGATTTGTGGCTCCGTGCAGTGGACAAACAGCACGTATTTGTGATTCTGAGCAGTGCTTTATGCAGATGCAGTACTGATGAGACATCACTGGCAACGAAAGTGTCTGTCCTACAGTGAAAGGAATTAGAAAATATTTGACCTTTGTTATGAAAATACCTAAATCTTCATTCATCACTTATGTGAACAAAACACTATAGTGACAGTGTCTGTTATGAGGGTTATTTCTCTGCTGGTGTGCTGTTGGAACGACCATTGGTTCTGTATACAGTCTAGTGCTTCCAGCTATTTTATTTCCTAAGGGCTTTCTTTCCTTCTTCTTACCTGCATAAAATTTGTAAAATTTTAGTTTTAAAAAGCATTGTTCTGAGGGGAAATAGTAAAAGAAATAAATATCCATGGTTTTATGGCAAAAACAATTGTGACCCTGTTAGACAGCAGTTCTTACAGATCAACCATAGCCTCAGCTTTGCAAGGTACTGCTGTATCAGAGAATGTACACAGTGTGTGGAAAATCTAGTTAAAGCAAACTGAGACAGAAAGTAATCTTCACAGCAGGTGGGAGGGTTGATTTCCAGATACAGGAGGGAATATTCCTTTACATTCCATTCGATTTTCAAGCTGTATTTCTCCTTTGGCAGTAGAAGTTATTACTCACCTATACTGTGAGATTTAAAAATACTTCTTTCATAGAAAGAATCTTTTCCCTTGGGAAGAGGCAACCAGCAACATGATGAAGAACTCAGAATGTAGGGGTTCTGTCACTGGAAAATCCTTGAAAATATGAGTGAGATTGCAGATAAAGTGGCGAACGGGCTGCATATTTTAGGAGCACTAGAGAGGAACAGATGCTTACTGTCAAGAAGCAAGGAAATGCAGTCAGTCACTCCTTATGCAGCTGTGGTGTGTCTGCACCTGAATTATGAGGAAGGATTCAAAAGCTAACTGTGCTTACCAAGTTCGGTTGAACAGGGGAGGTCTAGTCTGCATACTTTCAAAGGATGGCTGTATCTAATTGTATCAAAGTAAATAATCAGATCAGATCAAAGCAGAATGAATTGAGGAAGGGAAAAATGTTAAATACAGTACCCAGAAAAAAATGGCTACACTGTGAAACTTCTTGGAATTCATTCATAAACAAATAAACATGTGAGTATAGTCATGTGCTCCAATGGATCCTTATTAATTGGGCCATAAATGAAGTTACAGTAGCAGGCGTATTTGCAGGACTGAGTAGTTTCCCAAGGAAAATACTGAAGAGGAGATAAGTGGCATGTCTTACACTAGGCTTAAACAAAATATTTAAAGGGTACTGTAAGTAATAATGCTGGATTAGGAAAAGACACAGTCTCGTAGTCTGAATAGGTAACGCATTTCTTAAAGACTGCACCTCTGTGGTTTATTTAGGAAAATTCAGCTCAGTAAACTGTAAGGAATTAATCAGTTTTATGTGAGAGTTTCTTTCTTTTTTTTACCCCCACTTTCACCAAGGTTAGTTGAAATGTAGTCATGTTTTAGGAAGATGTTAAACAAAATAATCTGTTTCTAATTTCACCTGCCCTCCTTTTACTGTAGCTGTAATTCTTTAATTAATCTCATTACTGAGCTCGTGTAAGTGGTGACCTCCCCATATTCCATGGTTTTACACTTTTAGTGTATCTGCTATGATATATATACACACACATATATATATATGTCAAGATCTGACATGTTGAAGGTATTTCCTCAAATTATTTTGTTTGAAACTGAGCCGTATGAACAGGTTTAAAGTGGAAGGCTATTTGCTGTCAGTAGGACACTGCAATTAAAAGAATTTAACTCTGCTTTTTTTTAAACATTACAGTATTTACAGGTATTTGGTTGCTTCTTTCTGAAAACAAAAGTGCTGCAGTCAAAATGGGTTCAAATGGGTTCACATATGTGATTGCTTTTGATTTAAAAGCACATGTATGACGTTTCAGTTACACAAAAGACCTTAACATTTATTAAAAAAAAAAAAAAGAAAATCCAAGAAAAAAAGCAGTGCCGATAGCTGAGTATGTGGTGGTTTTCATCAAGCCTAATTCAAGATGCTTGAGATATTTCTGAAAGTTTAATCTTGGCACTAACAGCTGAGAATGTAGTGATAAAAGTCATAAGACTCATGATGCAGATTCCGCTTTATTGGTCCACACCCCAGACTCAGATGTCTTTGAAAAGTTACAAAGATTACAGTAACATTTAATTTCTGAAACTATGTTGGGAATATTTGGGGAAAAAAAAAAAAAAAAAAGGAAAGATGATCATTTAGGGAAGCTACAAAATATGTGATCTTCTGAACTGTGCTTACACAGGCACAGCAGTGTGTCTGCTAGCACAAGTCCGAACTAATCCTCCAGTACCAAAGCTGTATTTTCACTCATCACTCGGCAGTTTTTAATAATGATTTGTAATGAAGAAAAGGCAATGGCAATTTGGTGATTTTTCTGTGACTATATAAACATTTTTTGTTTGTTTGTTTTTTCTGTTTCAAAGGAGAAATTCTTCATGGGTTTTGCAATGTGTTTTTTTTTATTTTTCTCCTTTTAACCTTTTTTAAGATAATAGTGAAAAAATTGGAGCATTTTTATTGAAAATTCTGTTGGTGATTTTTGTTAGTCATTTAGATATGCAAACACAAAATTTCTGTTTATAACCATGAGGTGTGTTAAAAGCCTGGAGAAAAGGCTGTCACCAGTTAAAAAGTAAAACTTCCAAATAGTCCTTTTTAACCAACTCTTTTGGTTAATAAAAAGAAAGGGAGAGGGAAAGTCCACAAACTGTTAGTGGAGTCTTAAAATATGATTCAGAGATTAGGAAAGAAGTGAGTGGCAGATCGCAGAACATACAAACCATTTGCCCCAGACTTCCTTTTAAGCCCAGTCTGCAGTATTAGTCACTTACACATCTTTATCGGTGTAACTGTCTTTTTTTTTTTTTTTTTTTACCTGCTCGTTTTCAGTCTGTGTAAGAGTGTAAATTT